CCAAAGCTCTCTGCCCCACCCATGCTCCTGTATTTGAATCTCTCTCCCATCAAGCCAAGATAACAGATGAGTGGTAGACTCAGATTGATCAGCCTCATTGCTGCAGATCCTCAGCCTCAGACTCCCCAACAGTTCCCCCACTTGCACACATACCCTCTCCTGTCCTTGTGCCCTGGGGCAGCAGAAACTCTTCAGGGAAGGGAACATATCTTCAGTGGGTTGGGAACGGAAGCCATTCATGCATGCATATCTGTGTGTACACTATATGAGTGGCCAGAGGTAGGTTCCTGGTGGGTTCTAAAGCCCTAGTGAGCTTCTTTTCTTTCTGAGGGACACTTGTCCATGTGTCCAGGGCTTGGCTGAGACAGATAAGGCAGGCATGCGTCTTCAGAGGCAGCTTGAGGGCCTTCCGAACTGTGCCCACCCAGCCCTGGGCAGAGATGATCGTGCCCCATTGGTGGATCCTGAAAGCCTAAAGGGAAGGATTCCCGAGATCTGGGAGCTAGGGTCTGTGAGAGGGCTGGCCACTCCGCCCATGTGGAGGCGGGAAGGGCGGTGCCCAGCCAGGCCGCAAGCAAGCTGGCAGCTCAGATGTGAGCACGCGGCCCTTCCGCACTGCCTCTCCGCTGTCACCATGGTTACCTGGTGGCCTGGAGGGGGGCGGGGCTCTCCTGAACAGGCAAACCTTGTGCAGACACGATGCTGGTGTAGGGGCTTCAGTAGGACCTGTGCATCCTGTTGGAATGTGGGTTCATGTCGAGAGTGTCCACATTTAAGATGGGGAGCACTGTAGCTCTCTTTGCTGGAAAAGCCATTTGTGTACAGGAGGTTTGCAGTGGAGTCTGGGAACTAGCTCTGGGCTTAGTGTCATGGTGGGATTTGGTTCCCTCAAGAATGCCCTGCAGGGCTGGGAAAGTGGCTCAGTGGTAGAGCGCTTGCCTTGCATGCTCAAGGCCCTGGGTTCGATTCCTCAGCACCACATAAGCAAAAAGAAAAAAGCCGGAAGTGGCACTGTGGCTCAAGTGGTAGAGTGCTAGACTTGAGCTGAAGAGCTGAGGGACAGCGCCCAGGCCCAGAGTTCAGGCCCCACGACCGAAAAAAAAAAAAAGAATGCCCTGCAGCTGGGCGGCCTGTAATCCTAGCTACTCAGGAGGCTGAGATCTGAAGATCATGGTTCAAAGCCAGCCCAGCTCAGGCAGGAAACTCCGTAAGACTCTTTTTTTTTTTTTTTTTGGGTCCGGTCGTGGGGCTTGAACTCTGGGCCTGGGCGCTGTCCCTTAGTTCTTCAGCTCAAGGCTAGTGCTCTACCACTTGAGCCACAGCACCACTTCCGGCATTTTTCTTTTTGCTTATGTGGTGTTGAGGAATCGAACCCAGGGCCTCATGCCTGCAAGGCAAGCGCTCTACCACTAAGCCACCTTCCCAGCCCCTCCGTGAGACTCTTATCTCCAATAAACCACTAGAAAACTGGAAGTGGTGCTGTGCTTCAAGTGGTAGAGCACTTGCCTTGAGCTGAAGAGTGCATGGACAGTGCCCAAGCCCAGAGTTCAAGCCCCACGACTGACAAAAAAAAAAGAATGCCTTTCACCTCTCTCCCCTGCTTTCATCTAAGCTCCACCTCTATTTTAACAGAGTGACCTTGGGCAGGTTTCTAGCTTTCTCCAAGTCCCCATTTCCTCATATACCTCATATCTGTTTGATAAAGATTGTCATTTTGTAAAGCATTTTAAGCATAGTACTTGTGATGTGGTAAATGCTTCATGCAGGGAACCTTATATCCTTTGTATCTGGGCCTCAGTTTTCTCAGTTGTTGATAGGTTTGGAGTGACATCAGCCTGAGGAATTAGGTCTATCCAGTTCTCACCCCTGAATGGTACTGATTACTCTCCACCCAGCTCCAGGCGCACCACAGGCATCAGGGAAAGACTGCTGCCTTTGCAGGGTTTGGATGTGCTGGAGGCCTCTAGGTAGGAGAGTTGACAGCAGGTCACCTCACCTCTGAGGGGCTAGAGTCCTGTGAGACACCCACCCCCTTCTGGAAGTGGCAGAAGCCCAGTCTTCCTACATTGCCTAGAAGTCTAGTTGGCAGAGGGGCCAGGCTTTTGGGTCCTGCTGTTTTATGGACAGCTCTTCACACTTGCTAGTTTCAGGCTCTGGTGGCAGTGCCTAAGGGATGATCTGAGCCAAGGACAGCCATTGAGGGCGTGATAATTGAAGGAGGAAAATTAATTGTCCTTAATTTGGCATAAATCCCAAAGACCTTCCCCGTGTCAGGAATTCAGAGTAGATTCCTGAGACATCATGCTGCAGGCATTTGTACCGCTTTCCTTCTCCTTGATCAGTACCTTGCCTGTAGGAAATAAAAACTAGTTCACTCCTGGACTCTTACTCTGGCAGGCTTTTTCCCGTACAACCCTCTACTTTGCTCAGGAGGGCTGAACAGGTAGAAGTGAAGCTAGTTTGGTTCCCTGGTACCCTGTCTCTAAGCAGCCCCAAGTATCCCCTTGCTGCTACAGGTAGTCTTAAGAGAGAACTCTGGGCCCAAGGCCTTGCTTTGGCTTTATGTGAAAGAAAATGATGGCAGGACTGAGAGAAGTTGTTGCCCTGCTAGGTGCATCTCAGGTCCTTCTCTTTTCTATCTTCTCTCTGTTCTCTTGCACTGTTTAACATTATCCTTTTAAAAACCAGAGCTGTAAGTCAGGACACTGTGTGATCATACTTACAATCAAGGCAATCCTGACTTTATATCTGGAATTTATAGGGCTTCTAGTAGGTAAGTGTGTAGCCAGATCCTTGGAAAGGCTTAGGAGACCAGACCATGCTAGAAGTCCTCCTTGCTCCTCTAGACTGAGACCTCTTCTGATGAACTCCAGTCCCTTTGGGAGCGGCAGGAGTCTTGGTGGAGCTCCCGGGGCTCTAATGGCAGATAAATGTATCTTGACCCTGCTAGTTGGAGCTCCTCCAGCTTTGTCTCTTGCCTGTCCCCATAATCACTCCCCCTGGGTCTCCAAGAGCCTCCAGGGAAGACCAGCTTTACCAGCCTTTTCTTTATTCCCTTCTGAGGATGCCATGTACTTTTCCCCTGACATAGGAGCTTGACCTCAGCAAATGTTCCCATTCACCAGGCCTGTGGAGGGAGATGCAGAACCCAGAACTACAGAACCCAGCTTCTTTGCCAGTAGATTGACAAAGGATAGGCAATCCCAGGACTTCCATTGGGTATGCCTGGCATCCACACTGGTACAGAGGCACTACTGAGTTCTAGAAATCACTTTTTTTGTTGTTGTTATTGTTTGGTTTTTTTCCCAAGAGGGAGTACTTTTACCAGCCTAGGGTGGAAAAGGGGACCGCAGGCCCTAGTCTCAGTATCTGTCTGCCTCAATGGTTTACACTTGCTAGTCACAGTAATGTCCCCTAATATTCATTATGTTAATATAGGCCTTCTGGTAGTTTGTGTGTGTGTGTGTGTGTGTGTGTGTGTGTGTGTGCGCACGTGCCCACGTGCGTGCACACATATGAATGCCAGTCCTGGGACTTGAACTCAGGGCCTAGGTGTTGTTTTTGAGCTTTTGTGTTCATAGTACTATACCACTTGAACCACAGCTCCACTTCTAGCTTTTTGTGATTAACTGAAGAGTCTCACAGACTTTTCTGCCCAGGCTGGCCTTGAACCATATTTCCCAGATCTCAGCCTCCTAAGTAACCAGGATTATAGGCATAAATCACCAGTCCCCAGCTCTCCTGGTAGCTTTACAAGATGAGCATTTGAACCCAAGTGGGCAGATAAAAGCAGAGATACCAGATAAAGAACATGCTCAGGCCCTAGTGTTAATACTGGTGGAGAAAGGAGTCCGACTTCCTGTACTAGTCCAGGGCCTGCCCACCCAGCTTCAGCTCTTCATGTTTCCCAGTGGTAAAGAATGGGGTAGCATAGCCTCAACTCTCAGCTCATTAGTGCTGCTACAGAAGTCCATGTACAATGGGAGGAGGACAAAGGACAACTGCTGAGATCCCTTCCTGTTGGTCCCATGGAAGTGACACCTTTGGGAGCTACCACCTGATATAGAACTGAGAGAAGAGCCGGGCGCTGGTGGCTCACGCCTGTAATCCTAGCTACTCAGGAGGCTGAGATCTGAGGATCGTGGTTCAAAGCCAGCCCGGGCAGGAGAGACCATGAGACTCCTATCTCCAATAAACCACCGGAAAACCGGAAGTGGCGCTGTAGCTCAAGTGGTAGAGCGCTCGCCTTGAGCTGAAGAGCTGAGGGACAGTGCCCAGGCCCAGAGTTCAAGCCCCACGACCGACCAAAAAAAAAAAAAAAAAGAACTGAGAGAAGAGGCCAGAGAAGAGTTTCACCTTTGGTGTGTTCATAGAGCTTTTTAATCTTCTTAGCTTACATATACTCAGACATAGTTTCCAGACCTGACCAGGTTTGGGACTGCACGAGAGAGAAAGCACGGTCAAGGCTGCAGTAGAGAATTGGTCAGGGTCAAGACCTGAGTTAGAAGAGGATCAGTGATAGAGCAGGGTACCCAGAGCCAGGGATCTTGGCTCTGCCACATAGTGAAGCTGAAGGGGATGCAGGCAGAAGAGAAACACTGCGGGTGCTAACAAGGGAGTGGAAGCTTGGAAGTACAGAGCCTGGGGCAGAGTTGTGGCTGTTGCTGTTCTGCGAGCAACCCCCTCCCCCAGCCTGGTGTCCATGCAGCATTTTCTGCTGCAGCCAGCAGAGCATTGATCCTTGTTTTTCCCAGGACCTCAAGAGATAAGTGCTGACATCTTCAATCTGAGATGATGCTTCTCAGACCTGGGAACTGACAGGGCAGGGGCAGGGCCCATGGCAACCCCTGTCCCTGCCAAAAGGGACTTAAGAAGACTCTCATTCCTCATATCAGGGTAGGCCTCATGCCTACCCTGGAGTCAGGGGAAGCTTCCTCACTGAGAGGTCCTAAGAGGCAGACAGGGTCAGCCCTAATGCGTGCATTTTTATTTCTCTTCAGAGGAACAGCTGCCATCTGGGTTCCCTTCCATAGACATGGGGCCTCAGCTGAAGGTGGTGGAGAAAGCACGTACAGCCACCATGTTGTGTGCAGCTGGCGGAAATCCAGACCCTGAGATCTCTTGGTTCAAGGACTTCCTTCCTGTGGATCCTGCCGCAAGCAATGGCCGCATCAAACAGCTGCGTTCAGGTGAGCCAAAGGCCAGGGGCCAAGGGGCTATGAAGACTCCAGAGAAGAGTTCTTGCCACAGCCCAGCTCAGCGTCCCTCTTAGGCCTCGGTCAGCTTCAGGCTGACCCTCCAGGGCTCAGCCACAAACCCCTCTTCTCCCCTGCCCCTTAGGGTGGGCTGCATCTTGCTACAGGCCTACCTGACCCAGGAAAGAGGAACTGGTGTAAGAGCTTTGTTGCCAGCATGTGTCATGTGGCAGCACAGCAGGCTCTGGGAAGGTGTCTTGAGAATACTCATCTACTTTCCCTGTAGCCATCCTGGGGTGATGCTTCTCTGCTTTGTTGGATGGCAGGGATTAGCGGGGGAAAGAGGCCAGAGATGCCTGATTCATCAGGCTTCAAATGGACCTCCGGGGCCTGGAATTAGGGGGACTTGCTGCCGTCCCTCAACCACATCAGAGTCACCTGTCTTCTCTGGAAGTCTAAGTTGAGCCAGCTTGGAGCCTTCAGAACAAGGATGCCATTGTGACTAGGAGGAAGGTGTCGCCTTGATGATCGATCTGCCTATGAGGCTCCTGCCAAGAAAATTGATTCCGTTTTTGTGGGAACAGAGCATGTGGGAGAGGAGGCTGGAATCAGCTTGGCTGCATTCTGCATCTGCTGGCAGCTTGGGCTAGACCCATAGACCTTGTTCCAGAAATCCTGCTAGCTCTGGGAAGGTGGGCCTTGAGTGGTACAGCCAGCACTGGCCAGAGCCCCTACTGCCCATCAGCTGTGAGGTTGGCACTGAGAAGAAGGATGTGACTCTGTTTCTCTCAAGACGCTGCTGGTTTCAGAGGTTCCCACCAGTCCCTGAGATACCAGTCCCTCCACATCAACTCCCATCAGACCCACACCTTCTTGGTGCCTAGGGAGAGGAAGAAGAGATGAGCTGCCCAAGCAGGACAGGATTCCGGCCCTATACACGGCCGCCTGAGACAGCCCACGAAGTGTTAGCTCATTTAATTTAATTAAAACTCAACAAGATGGAGGCAGCTGTAGCGCAGTTAATTAAAACAGCCATAATCAAGGCAGGAAACAGTCCGGCATTTCTGGTTGCTGCCCAGCGCTGCACAGCAGCCGGCATGGCTTAGCTCCTTGGCGCTCGCTCACAGGTCCCCCAGGCAGGCTTCCCAAGCAGGCAGATAGTCCTCCCAACAGGCCTAACCCCTCCCCAAAATGGCATTGACTGTCTGTGGTAGGCAATAGTTCTGGGAAGACTGACAGCATTTGTTCATCAAGTATTTATGTAGTGTTTGCTGTGTGCCAGGCCCTGTGCTTCTCATTTCCTGCCCATTACTCTGCTGGATTGCTCCACAGCCTCTGAAGCTTCTTCCTTTGTCCTCAGTAGTAGCTGACAGTCTTCCTTCCTTTTTAGCCACTCCCTCCCACCTTCCCCTGGGTCTCTGCCTCTCCTGACTCCTCTACTACCTCGATCTTGTAGCTCATACACATCTGTTTGTTGGTTTCTTTAGTCCAGGACTCTGAGAGTCTTAACTTTGCCCTGTAGACAGCCTACCCAAGCAGAGTGCCTATTGCACCAAGAGCTTCAGCTGCTCACCACTACCTGAAACTCCTACTTCTGCCTCCCCAGCCCAGACAGCCTGTCAGAGTTCCAGGACCAAAACTCACTCAGTCCACTTTTCAACTATCACTTTTTCTGCAATGAGCAGTTGCCTCCTTCCCAAAGCCATGCCCTTTTTCATTGGCCCTCTCTCTGAATGGCAGCCACTGAACCTGAAACCTGGGAGGCAACTACCTCCTACTCTAGTAAGGAATCATGTCTTCTTGATGTATAACCCATGTAGCTCTCAAATTGGTCCCTTTCTCTTCTTTCACTGTCTCCATTCTGTCACAAGGCACTGAATACTGCCCTCCCTACCTCCGGTCTCTCCCTGCGAATGTGGCAGGATTTTCTATCCTGTTCTCCTGTGTACTGACAACATTGGTGGACCTTAGGTCTGTGACCCTGGATCATGCCTATGTGGTCAAGTGCATACTTCAGGCAAGGCTCATAAACCCTTCTGGCTCTTCCCCTGGCCACATCTCCAGCTTGATATCACCAAGTCCCAGATGCATCCTCACCAGCTCTATAGCCTCAGTTAAATCAATTCCTTTGAGATCATGAGGTTTCTTAAGACAGTTGACAGTTGGTGTGAGTTTTCTACCTAGCCTAAGGTAAAGGCTCTTTGGAGGGAGCATTTCTTACCTTCTATCACTCCCCCATTTGTACTGACCACACTGAGCCATCCTTGCTCACCTCCTGGCCTCTGCTTATCTTTAGTTCCTCCACTTGAAGGTCTCTACTGTTTGTAGCTTTAGCTCCTCCCTTAGGACTCATCCTGCTTCATACTATTTTTCATCTGGTTCCAACCCTACTTACCTAGTCTGGGTACTTCTTGCAAGAAGGGCTTGGGACAGATTTTGCTTGGGGAAGTGGCCTCTTGACCAGCACAAACAAAACTGTAGAACAGGTCTCTAAGCCTTTGCTGAATAAATGATTTTATAAACTTGGTCTTTGGTACTTGTACTTAAGACTAATATCTGCTTTATTTTATTTATTCACTTATTTATTTCCTTTTCTTACACCTGAAAGCTGTGACCTAAGGCTCATAAATGAGTCTAGCTCTTGGTATAGAGCCATGTAATTCTTCAGGAGTCTTAGTTATCCTTCCTCTGTAGGGTACCTACATGATGCTGGCCTGTGACTCTTCACCCCGTAGCTTCTATCCCTGTCCTTGTAACATTTAGAAGGAAACTGAAGATATTCCAGGGACATCTCTTCATGGAGTGGATTCATGCCTCTAAGCACTGTTTCTTTACAAAAATTTCCATGGTTCATGTGTCACCAAGAGTTTGTACTTTCTGCCCGTTTGTTGTCACTGTGTCTCCTGAAACCCTGGGAGGTAGGTCAGGCTGTGATTTTTATGCCCACTTACAGCTGAGTTAAGGAAATCACCTAGGCTCACATATGGAGTTTAGGATCTAGCAGCTCCTCTAGGCAGTTACCCCTGGGTATAGTCCAAACCTAAGAACTGAGGGGAAGCTGGACCCCACTAGGACTCTAGAGTTAGACAGTTGCATCCTTCCCCATTCCTCCAGTATCTGTGACCTGAGCCATAGCATATCAAACCAGGGTGTGGCCCAAGAGCAAGACCTGGCCAGAACGTGATTAGCAACATGTACTACCCAAGGTGAGCTCTGCTTGACAGGCCCGTTCCTTACTGAAGTGAGCTAACATGCTGCCACAGGGCCATGTGAGCTTGAATGGCCCAAGAGGAGTGAGACTAAGTATGTAAAGAATAGCAATAGAGTCATGACTGGGCAGTGTCAGCCATGAGCAGTCTCACCTCTGAGTGGGGCTCAAGGCACAATCCTGGGAGCTACTGCTAGCCTATAAGCTCTGTCAAGCCTGAACAAGGCCCTGAGGAGACTTCCTTTGTTCCTGTGTGGCCTAACTGTGCAAGCTGCTGTCCCTGCCACTCACTGTAAAGGACACTCTCACCCAGAGAGTTGTCTTTTCCACACCCCCAGTATCCACCAGCCTTAAGAACAGATGGCAGGGCTAGAGATATGGCTCAAAGGTAGAGTATCTACCTAATAAGTGTGAAGCCCTGAGTTTAGTTCCTAGTACCACCAAAACAAAACAGACAAGGCAGTAGCATCTGGCTTTGGCTCATGGTCCCCTCAGGGGGGATGCTTGTGACTCTTCATTCTGCTGGCTGGATCCAGTCTAGCCAGAAGTACCTCTTCCTCTACTCTATTCTGCTTTTGGCTGGGACTGTCCAGAAGAGAACACTCAGTGCATGCTCACAATTTCCTATTGGCCCTAAGCTTATTGACACTTCTTGGATGAGACTACTCCTAGAGAAGCTGACTCTTGGGGTCTGGCACACCTGTCTTGTAAAATGGAAAAGGCAAATTCTCAGTTTGGTGGGGAAAGTATAATCTGAGAGGGAAGCAAGTTAGACCTTAGAATAGCTGAGGCCAGGTGTCAGTGGTCCTAGTCCCCTAATGTGTATTATCACCCTGTCCACCACTTTACTATATATTAGATATTAACACTGAGATCTTAAATATTTAAATAATTTAAATCTTAAATAATTTAAAAAACCTATTGTGTGTTAATATAAATAACATTTCTGAATGGAAAAGTTATACTTTTTTTTTTGGCCAGTCCTGAGGCTTGAACTTAGGGCCTGGGCACTGTCCTTGATCTTCCTCCTTTTGTTCAAAGCTAGGACTCTACCACTTGAACCAGAGGGCCCCTTCCGGCTTTTTCTGTTTTTGAGGTACTGAGGAATCAAACCCAGGGCTTCATGCATGCTAGACAAGCACTCTACCACTAAGTCACATTCCCAGCCCAAAAGTTGTACTCTCTAAAACAAAAGTTTATGAGGATAACTTCCTTGTTTTACACTTCTACAAATCTCTTTTAATTTGGGGCTTTACAGCAGGCATTTGGATCCAGAATCTGCTTTTACATTCAGCCTATTACGGTATCAATCTTCGTAAGTCCTCTGGAAAACTCCACTGTGTGTTCATGAAGGAAAGAGGCTGCTTACGACAAATAATTTGTTAGTATTATAGGAATGATGTTGATCTTATGGACCCTCTAAAAGGTTCTCAGAGGTCTTTCCCTAAAGACCTCTAGACAACACTAGAATCACTACCTCTAGAATCGCTGTGGGGAGGAAATACTGCTAAGGCCTCATAGTTGACCTGGAAGTGGAGGGCAAATGGCTGGCCTCTGGCTCTGCTTCTGCCTCTGGCTAATTAGACTAAGGGAGGTCAGTAGTCCCTCCATTTCTAGTGAGACTAGGGTCCTGGGGGGAGGGAGGGTGGAATTTACAGAGAATCTTATCACTGGGTTGAGAGTTGATTGAGTGCTGTACCTCCACTACCAGCTGCCAGGATTGGTATGTCTGGTGGTAGGTAGCCTATGCAAGCAGTCCCCTTAATCTTTCTTCCTGCCTGCTTAAAAGCCCTGGTTTGGTTTTGGTAAGTGTTCTATTTGCCATCTTACCCTACTGTGGGATTTGGTTGGCCTATGAGGTATTGGTGCCTCTTTTCTTTCCCTTTCCCTCCATCGGCCCAGCCATCAGGGTCTGCAGGAGCCCTGACTCACCTTCCTGACTCCTATCACCCCCCAGCCCTGGTCACCAACTCTCCCAACAGTACAATGCTAGTGACCTTGGGAGGACATGCTTCACCCACCTCAGCCTGGTGCTTGCTCACACATCACCTGTGTCCACTAAACTCAGGCCTCAAGTACGCTATATATTTAAGGACCTTTCTTGTGTTTTATTTTATCTGGTTTGGCTTTCCTTCCTTTTGTACTAATGCTTCTCTCTAATCTTATTTGCATTCAAATTACCTCGCCAGGTGGTTCACCAATCAGAGGTAAGAATGCTGTCCGTGCATCTCGCCACGCCTCTCCACTGCCGTCACCTTCACTCCATCCAGTCCAGTCCGTCACCTCCCCATCCCCATCCTGACCTCTCCAGCCTCTTCATTTCCAGCTATGGCCCCAGTACCACCAGCCACCACACACCTCCACTCTCAGTCATTCCCTCCTGTGAACTCATCCATTGCAAGTCTGAATGTGGAGACTCGAGCTGAGCCCCACCTGCCATGGCAAGCCCTGCTGCCCTGGCCTTCCAGGCAAGCCACACAAAAAGGACTAAATCAATCCCCCCAGTGAGGGCCAACCTGTCCTCTGAGCTGACATCAATAGAGAAGCTTCCTATGAGGTTGAAGAGCATTACCAAGCCTTTCTCCACAAAAGCCTCCTTTTTCTTGAAGACCTCAACTATTACTTGACTTCCCCTATAATATTTTGGTCCTGTAGTTGAATTAGGGTCAGCCCTTAAATCCCTTCAGCCCAGCAAGGACTGGGAGGAACATTCAGTGCTTAAGACTTGAGATGACACAGGGAAGTAAACAAGCTCCAGCATAACTAGGTCACCTGATCTATCAGCTTGGTGCTGCCTGACTACAGGGCCCTGAAACCTAGTGGTTAGGATGAACAGACTCCGGACTACTAATGTTCTGGATTTAAGTGTTACCACCTCTGTGACCTTCAGAGAAACTCTCTCAGGAGTCTGTTTCCTTCTCTTTGAATTAGGTGTACCTACCCACAAGTCCATGAGACCTCGAGGAAAAAAAGTGAGGATCTGAACTGTGTCTGCCATATGCAGACCCCCTGTAAAATGATAGCTTATCATTTTTTCTGATATTCCTCAGTGTTGAGTTTAGAGTTTGAAGTCGGCCTTCTCAGAATAGAAATTAAGGCTAGGAGGAGCAGTTACTTCTTTTGAGACATCTTGTCATCCCTCCCTCAGGACAAAACTCCCTTTTCTTTGGATCCTCCCCCACCCCTCTGGACTCCCTTGTACATCCGATCAACAGTTGCTGACCCAGCATTCTCTGATGCTAGGGCTTGGCACCAGTACCAGATTTGGCAGTTTCCTTGTGCAAATAGGTACAAGGTCTGTGTTGGGTCTCCTAACCAGTCTTAGGCTTTCATCGCAGGAGAGCTTCCTTCTCCTGTGAACTAGAATCCTACCCAGGTGCCACGTCCTGCTCCTAGCCTTCGGTGACAGCCACCCATATCCCTGATACCCCTAATAAACTGACCTGAGGGCAGCCCTCACCAGCCAGGGGCCTGACCCTCACCTGCTTGAATGAACATTTTCTGTAATAATGTCCATCCATCCCATAAACATAACTGTTGGTTGCCTGTCAGGGCTGTTCTTACAGTAGATGGGTGTTTGGCATGTCCACTGGGTTCTGATAATCCTTGATGTCAGTGGGAGTGAGCTGAAGTCAAGACTCTAGAGATAGGCCATCACTTCATCCTTGCGCACTGATGGACATCCCTTCTAGCCCCACCTCCAGCTCCCAGATGTTCTAGTGTTCATAGCTTTTGCCAGGTTGTAGATAGTAGAAGGTGGACCATCATGAAGAGCTATACCTTGTCCCATAGTGGTCTCTCCTTGGCCCTCGTATGTGAGAGCATTGCTTGGAAGTCTTCCTGTGATTCCTATTCAGTCCAGCTAGGTGGGCTTGGCAACTTCTATCCGTCCTGTGTAGGTGTGATCCTCAGCTATGGCCCTGGGGTGGAAGTTTGGGGCTGTTAGAATCATTTCAGTTGTTCTGTGCAGGAGGTGATTTTCTGTCAGACTGTGTTCTGTGGGGCTAATAACTGTCCGTTGGACTGTCCTGTGTGGGTGTAATTGTCTGTCAAATTGTTCCAGGGAGGGGATTGGTGTTTGTGCCATGGGGTTCACTGTCACAGACAGCTTGCCCAGTTTGCTTTCACAGTTTTTTTCAAGTGTTACTGCTGGAGCTGGGGCTTGACAAAGAGAAATGATCTTTCACCTTGGGCTTTCCTTACCTGGACTTGCCAGCATGAAGCCCAAGCCCAGGTTTCCTCCACCCTCTGGGAGGGTCCTTTTCAGCTGCCTTCCTCACCCCACCCCACCCCCTTCCTGGCTCCTGTCTGTCCGCCTGTGGCCAGAGCAGCCCCTCAGGGCACTGGTCTGAGTGAGAACTACAGCCTCCATTACCCTCCTGAATTATGCAGAAGCTGTGGTGGGTCGAAGCACTTTAGTGGGGACCAGGCGGAGAAGAGGAGCCGGAATGGGTGGGGCCTACAGGGGGCGGGGGTAGAGTGGGTGGAGAAGATGGGGGCTAGAAGCAGAGGCTTTCTCTGACAAGCCCCTTCCTTCCGTCTGGTGGCAGAGTGTCAGGCTTTTGCCCAATGAGGGCTTCCAGGTCTATAGGTCTGGAGGTTGGCAGGATGTGGATCCAAGAGATGATTACTGATGATTCTTCTAGAGAATCAGGAGATGGGACACTCCAGTTAAGGGTGAGGTTAGCCCCTGGTGAATCAGAGATTGTGTACCAAGTACTACCCTGGGTTCTAGCCCAGAAGCCACTTGGCTTGTGTAGGTGAGCTTCGTGGAAGCAGCACAGGTACAGGACAGCCCAGGTGAGCTGCAACAGCTGCTCAGCACAGCCACATGTGTTGTCAAGAGCACCGTGTTCCAGGCTATGCTCAACATGTGCCATGGCTGACCTCTCCTCTGGTGTCCCCACAGGTGCCTTGCAGATTGAGAGCAGTGAGGAGTCAGACCAAGGCAAGTACGAGTGTGTGGCAACCAACTCCGCAGGCACACGGTACTCAGCCCCTGCAAACCTGTATGTGCGAGGTAAGAAGCCAGCAGTGCCGGCTCCTATTACTTTGGAGCTGAGCTGTATTTGCCAGGCATTCTGCCTGGAGCCCTGGATGCAAATGCTTGAGGGACTGCCTGGGGCCCTGTCTCTCCCCTTCTCCTCTTTCTGCAGCAGCACTAGCAGCCACAGCAGCAGCTCCCACTGGGCAGACTCCAAGCGTGTGCCACTACTTGCCTTCCTTCCCTTCAGGTCCTTGGGGAAACAGACAAACAACCCCTACACTCACCCCTGGGAGCATTTGTATCTCTTCTAGGTTGTTGCTGACTGGGCGCAGAGCCCTGTGGGAGTCTGGAGACTTCTCAGCAGACTTTTCTCTCTCTGTGTGTGTGTGTGTGTGTGTGTGTGCGCGCGCGCGCAGGCACACATATGTTGTGTGTTAGTGTGCACGTGTGGCCTGGCTTTCCTTCTATCTGCCCTCATACCTATCTTAGGCTCCAGGGCCACTCACTCTAGATCAGTCAAGTCTCAGGAATGGGACCAGGTAAACCTGTCCCCTGAACCCTTCTAGGAGGAACCTATTGTCTTCCATCACCAGCCAGACCCCTCATGTGGGTGGTCAGGCGGAGGATGCTGTGAACCCCTCTGGATCACCATGGGTGAGCAACAAATGTTTGTTTGGGTGTTCCATATAGGAACTAAGAAGATATTGTGCTTTTCAAAGTTATGTACATAGCAGAGGGGAATGGAAACCATTTTGGGGTATCCAGTCTTTATCCTACTTACAGCCCAAAGACAATAAAACTGACCACCTTGCCCCTTCCTGAGAACAGGGTTGGTGTCCACAGTTCCCAGGAAGAGTCATGAAGCCTTTTCTACCCACCTGCTGTTCCCTCAGCCCTCCTGAAGGAAGGATAGTTAAACTGTCTTGGCCATATGCTAGTGGCTCCCACCTTTAATCCTACCTACTCAGGAGGTTAAGATCTAGAGGATCAAGGTTTGAAGCCAGAACCTTGAAAAGTCCACAGGATTCTTTCTCTGCTCAGCAAAAGAAAAAAAAAGGCAGACAGGAGATGTGGCCAGAGCAAGAGGCTCTGAGTTGAAGCTCTAGTACTAGCACCCCTGGCCCTCCCAAAAAAAAGAAAAGAAAAAGAAACTGTTTCTACTTGGGATTTGTAGAGGAAAGGAATTCAGCTTCCTTGCAGTCACGTTAAAATCATTTTACTATAGCTCTGCAAAGGGTCGTCCCATTGGCCCTACAGTACAAGACAGTGTCCTGCCCTACTCTTTAGGGCCATTTGGTCAGCCTTGCTTACTCAGAGCAGATAGAATTAGACTGTCAGCAATAATACTTACCTGCTGTGTACCAGGACACAGGGTAGTTCAGAAGAGGCCACTGGCTGCCAGCCCATTTAATGACCCAGTCAAGCTGAGGAGCCATTTGTGATGGAGAAACTGTGCCCCAGACAATTGAAGTCACTTCGTGGGTGTGGGTATGGGATAGAAGTCCCCACTGCCCACTTGTTATCAGGTGTCCTCACAAAGGTTCTGTTGAGCTGACTTGGTGCCGGTCTTTGGCAACAATTTGAGGACAGAGAAATCAGGAGCACAAATGGTTGAGTAGAATAGAGTTACAAACAGCACAGCCTTCACTTCACTCTGATCTAAGCTGAACATTTGATAGAGGGACACGAGGCAAATCTCAGATTAATAGCTGGAAAGAGCCTTTGCAATGACTTAACCTTTGACCCCCCCCTTGACTGGGTCCTTTCCCAAAACACTGAGGGATTGAGAGTGTAGAGGTCTCAGGCCCCAACTAGGCAACCCTGTCTATATATGTTTGTACCAATGAGAGGAGAGGCCCAGCAGAGACACTATCGCAGGCCACCTGCTTGGATGTTGCCATATGGGCTTATTTGGGGTGATGGAGCTGCCAGAGACAATTCTGAAACAAGAGAAGGCCCAGATCCAAGATATATAGAGCCTGTGTCATCCTCCTAGCTGAGCAACCTTGTCCGATGTCAGTCATGCTAGCTCTAGCCCTGGAGATAGGGTAGTGGTTATCTTTCAAGGTGGCCTTAAACTACCAGTGGGGACACTGACAAAAGAAAAGGAAGTCTTAACCTCCACCAGCTGGAGCATCTTTGTCTATAGAGCCCCATCATCTGCACAGTGGGCTTAGACAGGATCCAAATGGTTCTTCCCATGGCCCATCTCTCACCCACCACTCTGAATTTATCCTGCTGGCTCCATTCCTGAGATCCATTAGCGGGGAATGTAGGGGCTCTTCTTGCCAGGGATGCTAATTCAGCCAGCCTCGTTTCGGCTGTCCTGTCTCTCCCTCCCATATTTGTGGGCCCTGATTTTTAAGGACTACTCCCTAATCTTCTGTCCCCAGGTCCTATTGCTTGAGAAAATTTCTACACAGCTAAAAAGTACAGCTCCCTGAGACCCTTGCCTCAGGATTTCCCATACGTTCTCATCTCATATATGGCAAAGTCTCTTGCCTTTTGTCTCTAGCAGTGCTGGCAGTCCTTCAGCCCCAGCTAGTCTATGTCATTCTGACCACCGGCTTTCTGGAGCCCTGTTTATGGAGGACAGCCATGGACGAGCCCCTAGTACCAGCACACTGGCTGGAACCCACCTGTCTTCTAGCACAAAGCTTTGAGGTTTCCTTTCATAATGGCATCCGTCCCTTCTCTCCCTGCAGAGGTAGAAGGCTAGGTCCTAGCTCTTGTCAGGGCCCGAGTCTCTGGATTTGGGTTGGTATGGTCTGCAGCCCATAGACTAAGTAATTCTTGGTTACAGAGGGCTCTCTTGTGCAAAGTAGGATGCTTAGAGCATCCCTGGCTGATTAGCCAGTAGTGACAGCCCTTAATCAAGCCAGTCTACATAACCACACTATTTAGGCACTGCCACATGCCACCTAGGGGCAAATTACCCTGTAGAGCCCCTCTGCTCTGGATCAGTAATTTCATTGGCATTTGTCTCCATTGGTCTCTCTCCTCTCTCTGTGTCCATTAGCTCCTAGGCCTCATCTCCTCTTCAGACTTAGTTTCAGTGTCTTCCTCACATCCCTTCTCTGCTCCCCAAACTCAGGGCTCTCACTTCCTCCTTGTACTGCTGTGTTCCATGGGACAATATAGTACTCATAAAGCTTCTGGCTCAGTGCCAGGCATACCGGGAGCACATGAGGGTCAATTGTCCTCTGTTGTTGTTAGACTAGCACTGAGTAGGGGATGCATCCTGCAGTTATGTCTGACTTTGTTCACAGTTGCCCGCAGCTCCACCCACAGTCTAGCAGGCCCAGGCATGCTAAGAGGACCAGCCTCTTTCTATCACCATCTGAGTCTTTTCCTGAGTGATTCATTCTCTCCTTCCATCTACAGTGTCTCTCCTTCAGTTCTCACCATACAGCTGCCAGGACCAGGGTGGAGTCCTGCCTTCCACAGAGCCTGGCCTACCTGTATCGAGGCCACCACCCTTCTCATTCTCTACAGAGACCTGGCTGCTGGACCACAGCTGCCTAAAAAAGGCAGGGGCAATACCGCAGACCTTCTCCTCACAGGCACCCAGATGGGGGCTTCCTCAAGCTGCTGGGGGTCTAGGGGCTTATGTGCCTTGACGGGCTGGTGGGTTGGGTGGACTCTGACCCGAGTCCAGTCCAGTTCACTGGGTCTGTCTGAGCTGTGGGGTGTGTATGAGGGTATGGGGACTGGCCCATGCTCTCCTTCCACCCTTGGTGTCCACTTCTGCCCTTGGCGTCCCTGGCACCTGCTGGTGGGCCCCAGCCCTGTCCACTGTGTCCTCCATAAGTCCTGAGTCTTTTGTGAGCAGCGTGGTCATTGTGCACTTGGGTGCACATGTGTGTGCAAGGGGACACAGGAGTCTTGTCTTGTCTCCGTGCTGTGTGGGCAGATGAAGATTGGCCTGTTTTTACTCTCTCTGTGTTTCTCCTTGTCTTTTTTTTATTCCCTCCTCATCCTCATCGCACTCTGCCATCAACCCAAACTCTCATCTCTCAGATCAGCGAGAAGGTTGGTCCTTTTCACTTCTTATCCATCTACAGTTCGTCTGTCAACGGGATATGCCCGTCAGTAGGGACCAGCGGGCTCGGTCAGATTCCTCAGGCTCACTCCTGCTGTGCCTGCCCGCCTGTTGGCCTCTGCTCATCACTGTTTGGGCTGGCAGGCAGGACCAGGGATGGGTGGGCAGGCCCCCTGCCCTGCATGTTTCTGCTGCTTGAGTCCTTGATGCACCATGTGTCTGCATGTTCCCTTAGCCAGGTTCTCCTGTACCTGTAGAGTTGTTGGGCAGGCATGTGCATGGCCCAAGATCGCACTCCACCTTTGCACTCAGGCTAGGCAAGCTATCTGTTCCAGGTAGTGTTCAGGATAGCTGGGGAAGTTACAGTCTGAAGGAACTGTAGAGCTATAGTGTTTGACATGTAATTGGTGGGGAGGGGGATTCTGTGACCTTTGCCATTCCGCTAAGCAAAGCTACAATTACTTGAAGACACAAGGAAGAAGCTTATATAGAGTGAGTTGTTCCTCTGAGAGTCTGCAATGTCTACCCTGGCCTGGAGACCTCCCAGAGCTTCAGCAAGCCTCAGTGAGGCACACTAGGGCTGGCTGAGATGAGCCCTGACCTACCTCAGGAGCTCGGTATCCATGACCCAGAGCAAGGATCATCATTTTGGCTCACTGAGTAATCCCCAATGTCAACTTTTTTCAGCCAAATTCAAATGAACATCAGCCCACCTGCCCCTCTGCCTGAGCCTCCCAGCTAGCCTCTCTGTCTTTCAGAGGGTAAAGTGTATTTGCTCTGTCAACCAGCCAGTAGTCCTCATCCCTATCCAATCACTAGTGCTGAGCACTCAGACCCAGGTTACTTACACTTGGAATGAATAAACAGGCAACTGTAACTTGGCAAGGCCTTATGGGAGCCTGGAAAAAACCCAACTTAGTTTTGGGTTGGGTAGGTAGGGCTTCTTGGAGATACCCTCTAGCCTATTCTAAAGCAATCCCACTGGGGCTTG